CCAAATAAAAAGTTACCCAAGTGTCTGTTATAGATGTTGTCCCTAGGGCACATTTGGAGGAGTCCTGGGAAGTTTGACAAAGGACCCAGGATCTGAGGCACTTGTCTTCTTAGCTTTTGTCTGAGACAGAATTAGACACATCCTTTTCCAGGTTCACTATCATCTGATATATTTTCATGCCCTTTCTGGATGCATAGCTTCTTCTACTTCTACACAAGCCAGAAAACCTCCCAGCCTAGAAAATGTTGGCCTTGCACCTCTTTTCTTCTTTCCCCAACTTCCCCCTCACTGGGAAGTTGCCCTGGGTAGGTACATTCACAGCTTTCTGCACTATTCTATAGCAGAGAATGTTGTTGGAATTGTGTCTAGCCCTCTCCACTATAGACTATGAACGTTATTAGGACAAAGACCACATGTCCCTCTTGTTCACTTCTGCATCCTCAGGTACATAGGTGGTGTTCACTAACCCTTAACCATTTGAATGTTTGAGTGAATATTCCATCTATTTAGTATGTACTATGAAGACCCCCCTCAAATCTCTTTTATTTCAGGAAACCCATAGTACTAGCTATCTGATGCTACATCACAAATTACCCTCCAACTCACCTGCTTTAAAAAAAAAAACTGTTACCACCTATTATTTCAATTTCTATAGGAGAGAAATTCAGACAGGGCACATGGGGTTGGCGTGTCTCTGCCCTATGTCTGAGACCTTGGGTGTAAGACCCAAAGCTGAATCCTCTGAAGATTCAGTTCACCACTTGTATGGTAATTGACTCTGGCTGTTGGCTGAGGGTCTACTGGGAGATGCCAGCAGGCCCTCATGTGGCCTCCATACCATTGGACTTCCTTATAACACAGTGGCTGGCATCGGCTGAGTGAGGAAAGCACCTCATTTTTGTGATCTGGCCTTAAGGGTCTCACAGCATCATCTCTGTTCATTAGCCACAAGCCCCTAAGCTCAGCACACATTCAGAGGGAGGAGAATCAGACTCAACTCTTCATGAAGGAATGGTAGGTAACTTGCAATTATGTTTTAAAACCACCATAAGCACTGGGCTAACAAAGGATAAGGTAGAGAGGAGCATTGGAAGAAGGCCTCCACTCATTTTCCAGCTCTGCCACTAGTCAACTGTGTGAGCTTGGGGGATTTATGCTCTGAGTTTGGCTTCCCTGTTCACAAAAGGAAGGTGGCAGCTGTTTGTCTCTAGTGGCAGTTGAATGCTTAGACTCTTTGTCTCAGCAAGCTTAACAGGAGCCAGGCTTAATTAACTTTCTTGGGCCCCTGGGACCTGGAGTTCTAGAAACATCCCTATCACTGACACTGGAGGCAGCAAAAGACTGTGACCAAAAAGCCCGGAAAAATCTAACATTAGGAAGAACTTTTAAGAAAAGATGGTGCAGCACTGAGGGCCTGGGGAATCTCTAGGTCTTCTCTCTTCTACCATTGCTATGGAATCCTTAACAGGTCAAGAAATGTGGCAATCATGAGTCTTAGGATTACTAGTAGAGGCTCAGAAACCCAGTATATCATTAATAGTTGACTTTGAGTTATTATAGCAAAACATCAAGACAGTTAACTTGTTTTGAAATAGGATCCCACATATCCTAAGTTGACCTCACACTACACTATGCAGCTGAAGATGGCCTTGAACTTCTGATCCTTCTGCTTCCATCTTCTGAGTTCTGGGATTATAGGCATGCACCACCACACCAAGTTTATACATTGTTGGGAACAGAACTCAGGGTTCTCTGGATACCTTGTAGCAGCCACTCTACTAGGAGCCAAATTTCTAGTCCAATCAACTTATTATTTTTAAAAGAGTTATTTTGACTCACCATTCTAGATGTTCGAGTCCAAAATGAGCAATGCATAGCTTTGGGCCTCTGGCCAGGGTGGCCCATCATGGTGCAGAGCACAGCAAACTCTTATTAATTACCAGTCAGGAAGGAGAGACGGAGACCCACATCCTAAATGCCCTAGTAGGTTGTTCTGGTTAGCCTTGTCAATTTGACACAGTCTAGAGTCGTCTGAGAGGAAAAGCCTCAAATGAGGAATTGTCTAGATCAGATTGGTCTGTGGGCATGTCTATGAGGGATTATTTTGATATTAATTGATATAGGAGGGCACAGTCCACTGTGGGAGGCACCCTTCCCTGGGCAGGTAGTCCTAGGCTGCACAAGAAAGTTGGCTGAGCATGAGACTGGAAACCAGCCAGCAAATAGCATTACTCCGTGGTTTCTGCTTCAGGTTCCTGTCTTGAGTTCCTGCCCTGATATTCCTCCATGATGGACTGTGTGACCTGGAAATGAAACCAAAATAAACCCTTCCTCCCCAAGTTGCTTTTGGTCAGACTGTTTTGTCACAGTAACAGAAAGGAAACTAGGACAGAGGGGGATAACTCGAATAACCTAAAGACAGACAGACAGACAGACAGACAGACAGACAGACAGACACACAACACACACACACACACACACACACACACACACACACACACACAACATCCCACCTCCCAAAGGTTCAGCCACCTCCCAGTAGCACCACCTGGAGATAACTGGTCTTGGGGAGACCTCCAATATCCAAGCCATAGCAATCAGGTACATTTCCCCCAGGTGACTGCTATTCATACTAACTACTGGCAGGGGAAAGTCTTAAAGCTGGAGCTCAGCTGTGAATGGCTGGTTTAATGTATATTTTTATTGCATTTTTTGTGCATTTCATACAATATGTCTTGATCATATTTATACCCCTTCCCCTATCTGCACCCCCATATCCCCCTTCCACCGGATTTCATGCATTCTGTCATATTTAAAGCCTATCAAGTTCCTGTTCCCAGATATCCTTCAGTGGGAGTTCATCCACTGGAGCCCAATCAGCCTATCTAGTGTCAGACTCCTAAAGCGTTTCAACTCTTCCTCACCCAGCAGTGACCAGCTGCCAATAGTTCCTCAGCTAAAGTTAGGGCCTCTTGCTCATTTCCTCAGTTCTATGATGGGTTTTTGTCTAAGTTCGAAGTTTGCATGGGTCTTCTTGTTCTAGAAGTTGCATGCAGGTCTGTGGGATAGGGAAAGCAGAGGAGTCGTGGAGTCTCCAGAGTCCACCGATCACGCAGAACAAGTAACTCCTTATTTTGGCCCCCAAACACCGCCTCCCGTTCCTATGTCACTGTGGGTCCCAAGACTCTGGGGAGCATCATTCCTCCAGCCCGGGAAGGTGTCCAGGAACCTGGGTATCCAAAGCCAGCCCAGGAAGTAGAATTAGGAATACGCTCTCCGGGATCCTGGGTTCAGTAACCGCATGAAACTGGTCGACATTAACCCTTTCGTGTCCAAGAGCAGTGACTCCCAACCCCTGCAAATCCTCCCTTAAGGAGCAGGCGCCAGAGGACCGAGTTCATCTAGTGTTATCTATCATCTGGGTTGATAGTTGGGGGAAAAGGCCTACAGTACTAAATGATCTACTGAACGTTCCAGAATAAGACAGGTATGAACATGGTCTAGAACCCGGTCTTCCAAGTCAGCTCTCTGTCCTTCAGGAAATTCCTGACCTCAGCAATTCCTTCCGCGCCAGGAATCCCCCTGGAGTTAACGCTGTGTGTCGGGTTGTAAACTTCCTCCGCAGCTCTGCACCCACTTCGCAGAGCCCTAAGAGAGAGGTGAGAGGGGAGCGAACGCACTGGCATCCTTGAGATAACTCGTGGCCTAGGGATGGCTGCTGGAGGAGGAGAAGCAGGAGTACCGGGCGGGAATGCACTGGCCCTTTAAGGGGGGGACGGAGCGCATGGTTAACGCTGTGTGTCGGGTTGTAAACTTCCTCCGCAGCTCTGCACCCACTTCGCAGAGCCCTAAGAGAGAGGTGAGAGGGGAGCGAACGCACTGGCATCCTTGAGATAACTCGTGGCCTAGGGATGGCTGCTGGAGGAGGAGAAGCAGGAGTACCGGGCGGGAATGCACTGGCCCTTTAAGGGGGGGACGGAGCGCATGCGCGGCGCGGGCCGGAGC